CCGACAGTCGATGACGCGAAGGTAAGCTCCAATTGTGTGCGGTCATGTGCGATGTGTGTGTGTCGGTTGCGTGTGCTTACCAACCGACTATTGGATTGCAGAGGGTGGAGAGAAGGAAGACGATGAGGCGGTGGAGAAGGAGGAGGGAGTGGCCGAGGACTACACAGCGCTGAAGCAGGGATTCCTAAAGCTGCTTGAGAAGGCCGCGGCCGCCGTCGCTGGCTCACATAAGAGTACGCCTGCCCCCACTCGCTGGCTGGCTCGCTCTGTGGTCCTCTCGTTCATTTGAGCTCACACTCCCTCTCGTCACAGCTGCCCAGCGCCGGTTGGTTTTGATCATCGATGCGCTCAACCAGCTGGATGAGAGCTACAACGCCCACTCGCTCGATTGGCTTCCCCGTGAGTTGCCCAAGGTTGGTGTCACCCCCACGGGGCCACTTTTTCTTTTCTTTTCACCTGCCCCCGTTTGGCGGTGGTGCTCACCACCTCGGTTCTATGCGCGGTCTAGGGGCTACGAGTGGTGGTGAGCACATTGCGCGGGAGCTGCCTGGACTCGATTAACAGAAGGCCGAACGTGGTATGTGCCACACATCCCTTCACACACACACACACACACACACACACACACACACACACACACACACACACACACACACACACACACACACGCCACACCTGAGAGGCCTGTTCTGATCCATTCGTCTTTGTGTGCTTGAACAGCAAATCACTGTGGGACCGCTGGATCTCGATGAGAGGAAGGAGATCGTGCGTAAGACGCTGTGGGAGTACCGAAAGAAGCTCGATGATAGGCAGATGAAGCGGCTGCTCAGCAAGAAGGACGCCTATAAGCCCCTCTACCTCATCGTCGCATGCGAGGAGCTGCGCGTGTTCGGAGTGTACGAGCTGGTCAGCGAACGCATCGACTCCATGGCCGACACCGTGCCGGCGCTATTTGAGGAGGTGCTGATGCGACTAGAAAAGGACCACGGGTGGGACCTGGTGCGAAACGCGCTCGCGCTGTTGCAGTGCTCTCGCGGCGGCCTGCTCGAATCCGAGGTGCGCACGACACACAACATGCAACATACACATATGTATGACATATGTGCTGACGTGGAGTGTATTGATTGGGGCAGATGGTGACGTTGCTGTCGAGCCCCATCCAGCCGGATAACATCGATAGGGCCGAGACTACCTTCATCGA